ATTTTTCGAAGAGTATGATTTATCATTTTATTAAAAGTTATTTATTGGTTTTTGTTATGGATTAACAATTACTTTCTAAGTCTTAAATGACGGAAAATTTTTTTATATTATTTTATTTTTTTAAAGATCAATACTGTACTAATTTTATAATATATACATTTATTTTTTTTCTTTTCTTAACTTTCACATTAAATTATTCTTTCTGATTTACTGAGATAATTCACTTAATTATTATATATTAATTTTATATATAATTATGTTAATATGTACGATCTTAAAATCTTTAGAAAGCAGTTTGAGCAAGCCAACATCTCTCAGAGCATTTGTACAATTCGACAATTCAATCACAAAAAGCGATATTTTTGTGACATTGAGGTAAAAAAATTTAAATTCTCAGTTTATAATCTTTCATTTTTCTTTCTTTTTCTTAAATTCAATGACATAAAAAGATTAATTTTGTTATAATTTTACTAAATATAAAAAGACTAAATTGTTCTTTTACAGATGGAATCAACCTAACTTTACCGATAAAGCAATACAAGAATACATAGTGGAATGTTTTTTCATCGAGGACTTAGAAAAAAAAATCTGTAACGATGAAAATATCAGAACTACAAAATTGGAACACATGGTGCACAATCTAAAACCTAACACGACATATTATTTCCGAGTACGTGCGAATACTAAAGTTGTTGCTGATCCTTACACGGATTTAATCAATGTATCAACTATGCATGAAAATCCAATACCTAAATTATTATTCACATCGTATAACAGGATCGAAATATTGGACCTGGATTTAAACAGCATTACTACACTTGAATCGACGCTTGAATAGTACGTATACTGATAAAAAAATAGTTATAATTATCAAGTTATTTTTGACACTTATAAAGTTAGTTATTATTGCGATGTACAAGTTTATTATTATCAACATTATAGTAATAACTATAAAAATAGAAATTTTAACTATAATTTTTTTACTATACAATTGTAGTTGACTTTCTTTTTCAGTCGGTTGAAAAGCATACTTGGTTTCGCTTACTCGATACAAGAACAAAGAATTTATTGGCATAACGGATATAATCTAATGACAATGGAGATTAATAAAACTAATACTGTCACAAAAATAGCTAGCTATGAAAATCTAGTTGGTCTCTGGATTGATTGGGTAGCAAGAAATCTGTATTTTTTAAATAATAAATCTTACGACTTAAAATATGTTTTAAAGTTCGACTTAACAAAGTGGGAAAAGGACAAAGGTAAATTTGATAAGATTTTGAAACTAAAAAACACCAAAGACTTCAGTTGGTATCAGGCTCATGCAAATATGTTTCCGTCTATGAGGTATGTTTACTACTATTCACCTAAAAAATTAACTTTCTATTAAAGATTTATGCAAATTTGTAATTTTTCTATAATTTTACGTGGTTTTATAATTAAGATTATAAGTAAAAAAAAAAAAATAAGTTATTATATAATTATAAGAATTTCGAATTTTTACTACATATAAGTTTTTATTTTTCTTAAAATGTTTTATAATGAGTAAAATAATTATATATTTTTTAGAATTGGATATGGCCTATCGTATAATACGATACATATGCGATACGATATGATAAAATATTATCTCGATGGAAAAAATAAGCAAATTCCGATAAATTTGTCTATTATGTACACTTGCGAACTTGAATTGATCAAAAAAATAATTTATTTTACGATTGATGACGTGAATAATGAGAATCCATTAATTTACTGGTTAACTCGCGAGCACTTAATTGTGACAGACATTAACGTTTCTGTGTGCAGAACGATTTTACACAATAAAAAATTTCACACAATAATAAATGCTGACATAACATTCATATCTATAACAATTGACAAAACATATGTTTACATTTTAGCAAATAATTATAATACTTACTATCTCTACGTTTTGAAAAAAAAATATGCAAGTCTCAAGAGCGTAAATACAGACAAATATGTTAGAAGGATAGACCAAGGAGAAAGATATATTAATAAATATTTTTCTAAAATTTACGCTTTTGACAAATCTTCTCAACCATATCCTCCAATAAGATGTCTGACACCTGACGAAAAAGTTTATAATTTTGAGAAAGTGACTCCAACGACAAACAGCATCATTGTAAATCTTCCGAAGCCGGTTGTAAAGAGTGGATGCGAAAAATATAATTTACCAACTACTATATATACTATTTCCGTAAGTTTTGACAACTGTTTAGACAACAATCTCAACAAGTCTAAAAAATTCAATGTGCTGACGTGCAAGCGATATTACGAGATTCAGAACTTAACTCCATTTACGGAGTACAAGTTGAAGTTTACTTTAAGTAATTTTTACTTTAATCAATTATCAATAAATCCATTCCATTCGAATGTGAGAAAAACTATTTTGGGCAAGCTTAATGCACCAGAAAACGTAAGTGTTCTAGCTTTGACGCCTACTATAGCAGTAGTTTATTGGATGCCACCCAAGAAAGTGAACTGCATAGCCGTGACCTACGAAGTGCATTGGAATTCAGTTATATCAATGAACGGCACACAACAAAATACTAAACAATTGATCAATGTACCGAAAAGTACAGCAGACGGCAGATTTTTCACAAAGATTAACATGTCGCTACCACTACAAGATTATTTGATTTACGTACGTGTATATCCAATTAATTTCAGCGATTTCTACAACGAGAGTTTGAACAAGATCGTTCACATATACTCAGAGCCAAACATTATTATTTTGAGCGATGTCAATACAAATAGCATGAACATTTCATGGATCTCAAACATCAATCTGACGATTTCTTCTGCACTAGAGTACAAAGACAATTCAACAGAAAAGTGGCAAACAACGAATGATATTAGAACGAATTATAACGAAAAAGTAATATATTATATCGAAAATTTACAATCCGGATCTTCATACCAGTTTCGCTTGATATTGAGATACCTCGAATATGAGGAAAATTTTACATGGCCGTCTGATAAAAGATTTATTTTTTCAACACATGGTAGCAAACGTGGTAAGCAAATTAAGATATCCATACAGCACAATAAGGTTGCAGATATTGAAGAATAATTTCATTGAAACATTGCAATATTGCAAATCGGTTGCGAAACTCTGCTGAGTTATTGTTATAAAATGATAACGTGTTAAGATGTTCACTTTTTGCAATATTGCAATGAAATATATATTATAACAACATGGCAGTATAATATATTTGAAAGAATGCATTGTTATTGCAACCATTTAATAATATTACGTATAAAATACAGCCTTACGTATAAAATTAAGCCTGTTATTGAATTTTTTGATTTTAAAATACACTAGTCAAAAAAAATAGGGAACATTTTTTGAATCCTAAAAATTGAGCTACGCAATTGGAAGGTGTGAAAAAATTAAAGAGTGTTATAGTTTTAAAATGTTTCTAAAATATAAATATCATATTCCTAACTGATATTTTATTAATTTATATTTCTGCAGTGTTTCTGTAATGTGTAACATTACAATTTGCAATATTGCAACATTGTCACAAAGTAGCTGTAATATTCTGTGGTGCATAGATGTTATAATATTATATGCTTATTTTTTTACATATGAATAGACTGATAAAATTTAAAAAAATATTTATTTATTATTAATTTATTATTATTTAATTATTATTAATTTATTATTCGTTTATTATTAATTAATTTATAATAACGTTATTAGTAGATATAAGTTTTTAAATAAAACGCACACACGAAAATATTAAAATTATGTTTTTGCGTAACATAGATGATATTTCAAACACTCCTGGAATAACAAAGCCAGAATATTATTTACTATTGACGTTAAGTTTGATCATTCCAGTTATATATTTGATCTGTAACTGCTACTATTGTAAGTATATTTGATATAGGAATCAACTTATATTATAGATTATGCATATCTGATATAATAACTAGAGATTTACTGAAACTATTAATTTATTAGTGATTTACTTATATAAAATTAAACTAATAAATTTACTAAAAAACGATAAATTTTATAATGCATATTATTACATAATTAAATCGAAATTTTATAACAGTATATCATGGACGCAGAAATAATAAAAAGCAATTTTTGCCTTCAACAAAGACCGATATGGAATTAGCGACTCTACCAGAATTACCTTCCCAAAACACTCAATTGAATGAGCTTTACAGTTCTATGTTACATTCTAACTCGGAATATGAAAAAATTAAAATCGAACGTAATCAAATCACATTAACAAAACTTCTTGGTAGCGGCACATTTGGAATGGTAAAGATTAGTTTTTTCAAGTAATGTTTCAAATTAATTTCTAGATCAAGAAAACAGACTTTTTCTAATAAAGACATAAATTATATAAATTTTTATAGTAGATTATATGTAATATAAAATTTAGATGAGACAACATACATGTACTTTGTTATATAAATTTAGATGGGACAACATACATGTACTTTGTTATATATTTTTCGTTGAATTTTTAATTATTTAATATAAAAAATAAAATATAACGATACTTGACATTAATCTATACATTTTTAAGTGAAGTACATATTTAAATTTGTGTGAAATATTTCGCAGGTGTTTCAAGGAAATGTGAAGAACTTAGAAAGATCGGACACAGAAATATCCGTTGCAATAAAAACGCTTCGAGAAGATGCTTCTTCGAATGAGAAAACGAAATTTTTAAAAGAAGCCAAGCTTATGAGTCACTTTCGACATAAACATATATTAAGATTGTTGGCCGTTTGTGAAGATGGGGATTCTCCATTACTAGTGTTGGAATTGATGGAAACTGATCTATCAAAATATTTGAGAGATTGTCGAAATTTGCAAGCGTCAGATTTGCATGCCTTGCGTTTGCAGGATTTACTCGGCATGTGCGAAGATGTTGCACGAGGCTGTTGCTACTTGGAAGAGTTGCGCTTCGTACATAGAGATCTTGCGTGTCGCAATTGTCTAGTATCTTCGAGAAATCGCGAGAATCGTGTCATTAAAATTGGAGATTTTGGACTAGCTAGAAATATGTACACGGATGATTATTATCGCATGGTAAATGCAATTATTTCAAAAAATTAATTATTAAAACAATGAATTCTTTTGAAAATGTTTTTATTTTTTTATCATAATATTATTGTACATTTTTTGAATAATATGGAGTATAAATAAATTGTTTATATTTATATAAAGCAAGAGATAAATAAGAGTTTTTTTCATTTTGTACATATTTTATTCTAAATGAACAACTTGAGCCAGAAAATTATATTTTTATTAAAATCATGTTTTTAGAAAGAAGAAAATTTGCTTCCTGTTCGCTGGATGGCACCGGAATCTTTGGTATTCGGCACATTTACTTCTCAAAGCGAAGTTTGGTCATTTGGTGTTTTAATGTGGGAAATCACATCGTTGGGTGAGCAACCTTATATTGGCAAGTCTAATGAAGAAGTGATAAATTATGTACGTGCTGGAGACAGATTGCCGATGCCTCTTAACTGTCCGACAATATTGTACCAGTTGATGCTACGTTGCTGGCGTACAGCGGGTGCTAGGCCAAATTTCAAATTATGTTTGAAAACTATTATAGCATTAAGAAAGAACATAGAAGATGCCTTACTGATTGTGAGTCCAGTCGACACTATTTAGCCGATATAATGAAATTAATGTTTATCTTCATTTCCGAACGATTCGATAAATCTTAATGTAAAAAAAATATTTCTAGAATATTTCTAGAATATTTCTAAATTGATTCTGTTATTTTAAAGTTTAATCTTAATATTAGATTTATCAATGAAGGTAAAAGAAATTTTTTAATCTTATCTTCCATAAAATCTTGATTATTAAAAAATATCACATCTATTGTCATGATTATTGTAACAACAACGTAATATAATGATATATCTAATTTGCGTTTTTGAATAATCGAAGCGAAATCTAATTGCGATTATATATATATATATATATATGTATAAACAATATTTTTTTCAATATGGAAATATAATTAATTTTCGACATTATATATGAGCGATAATTACAAACTGATTGTAAAATTTATGAGCGAATGAGGAAATGCGAATAATATCCTCTATAATTAGTTGTGAATATATAAATATAATAATATAATTATTATTGAATTTATAACAATTATGTATAAATTTTTACATCATTCGAGATAAGTATATACATATATACATATATACATATATTTTATGTTATTATATTTAATGACTTACTATATATTCAAATTATATTGATTACAAAAGTATGTAATTGTGTAAAAATGAACTATATTTATTGCTCTATCTCCACTAACTATATTTAATAAAGCTAATGTGCAATATTTACACACAATTAAGTACGATCTATAATTTCGAAAAATCATCAAATATTGACAACGTTATAAATATCCTAAAAAAATTACCTTTTCAAAAAAAGGTAAAAAAAAGAAGTCGAGTCATCCCAGTAGTAAAACATTATTGTATAAAACTATTTTACAAAAAATTATTTTAATAAAAAATTGCTGTATTAAAAAAAATTTTGTAAAATAGTTATCATAACTATCTACAAAAATTAATGATATATTTAAATAGAAAATTACATCGAGAATAAAAGAGTGCGATTTTATTTTATGTTTATCAACAGTGTGTGTGTGTGTGTGTGTGTGTGTGTGTGTGTGTGTGTGTGTGTGTGTGTGTGAGTCTGTGTGTGTGTCTGTCTCTGTGTGTGTGTGTGTGTGTGTGTTAGATGTGATTGACTGCTGATAAATAATTAGATGAAGAAAAATTATGTTTATATTTTCGTCGAAAGTTATTACATCTTTGTCATAAAAGTCAGAATCCCGATTTCTTCAACGATGAACAGTTGATTCATGTAGCTCGTAATTTAAAAAATTTTAATTATTAAAAAACTCGACGCTGCCAAATTTATTTGTATATTATTCAGCAGCGTCAAATTTTTTAATAATTAAAATTTTTTAAATTACGAGCTACATGAATCAACTGTTCATCGTTGAAGAAATCGGGATTCTGACTTTTACGACAAAGATGTAATAACTTTCGACGAAAATATAAATAATAAATATATTTGCTGATATAAGTAAGTAGATTTATCAGCAGTCAATCACATCTAACACACACACACACACACACACACATACACACACTGTTGATAAACATAAACTAAAATCGCACTCTTTTATTCTCGACGTAATTTTCTATTTAAATATATCATTAATTTTTATAGATAGTTATGACAACTATTTTACACAATTTTTTTTAATACAGCAATTTTTTATTAAAATAATTTTTTGTATAATAGTTTTATACAATAATGTTTTACTACTGAGATGACTCGACTTCTTTTTTTTACCTTTTTTTGAAAAGGTAATTTTTTTAGGATATCACTAATTTTTGTAGACAATTAAAAAATAACTATTTTGCACATTAACTTTGTTTAATGTAACATTTTTGTTTAAATAATACTATGTCTTGTGCATAAAACAGTTTTTTACAATAACATAAAATTTTTTACAATTTAATACTGACACATAATTAACTTTTTTATACTTTTTAAAAAAGTAATTTTTGAGAATATGTTAAATATCCAAATAAATAAGCAAAGAATCTGCCACCAGCTCTGTCATTTCATTAAAATATGACGATCTACTCTACTTAATATACTTTTTGCAAACTTCGTAAAGTTAAAATATTAACAAAGCTACATTCTTCAATTAATTTCAGGTGAAGTTTACTTTAATAAAATTTTAATTTTAGGTTTAGTTACAAACCTTCGACATTTTCAATGAAGAAAAATCGTCTCTAAATAACTTTAGAAATCTGTTATTAATGTTACTAGATAGTGTGATAGTGCAGGAGACTGCATATAGGATGAGTTTTATTTCCTGTACCAATTTTTTTTATGCGAGGGATTACTGCCCAGGTAGCAAGCACACGTCATTTTGATTTCCAAACTAGTCATTTTTGGTCATATGTCGTCAAAATGACTGATTATTGTACATGACTGTATATTGACGTCTTGCTATAACATTATTTTGACGTCATTTTTCAGTCATGAAGTGACGATTATTTTATTATGAATGTCATTAGTTAGTACATCGATCCCATAAAAAAAATCTTTTAAAATTTTTTATATGACATGACTTATTTCGCGATCAGACTTTATATATATATATATATATATATATATATATATATATATATATATATATACAGGGTGGGGAAAAAGTATGGAAGCAAACAATTATTTCCGAAACTATTCATTTTTCGACAAAATGTCTTAGACATAATTTTTATGGTATGAAAAGATGTATTATGTGGCATAGACGGCATGACCTTGAAATGACCCTTACGAGTTGCATACAAATAACGTAAAAAATTTCAAATGGAACTCGTCAGTTTTGTTACAGATTCTTGTAGCTGATGTCGAAACGTTTACAAAACACTGCATATGAGCCCCATTCCCTTAAAAACACTCCCAGTTACGAAACAATTGTGATAATTCGTATTTCCTACTTTTGGCTTATCCTTTACGGAACCTGTTTCATTAAATCGTTGAATTGTCTTAGCAACGGTAGATCTTACTATGCCCGGTTGTCCGATTCGAAAAGTTTCATTAAACAAAACTGTAACTTCATCGTGAGTTCTTTCATTCTCACCCCAACCACGCATCATCAACAGCGATATTCGCTCTCGTTCTGTTAATCGGTCCATCGTGAAAATAACATTTGAAATTACAGAAATGAAAATCAGTAACAATTCCTATGATAGAAAATGACAAAAATAGCAAATTTTCAAAACACAATATCCGAAACTTGTATGCCAATTGACACTACTTTTTTAAGGATAAAATAAATGATAATAATAAATAAGGTAGCGATGATCAAGAAATCAAAAAAATTCTATGAATACTCATAGACAGTGTATCATATGACAACAGGTACAATTACATGTTATTAGTGGACGCAACTGAACGTCATGATGCGAAATCAGTAAGCAATGTCAATGTGCATCACAATTGTTTCGTAACTGGGAGTGTTTTTAAGGGAATGGGGCTAAATAAAAATTTGTATTTAGCATCAACAAGAGCCATAAGGATTATACTATCTATACCCTTATAATTTCTATAAAAAGATCCACTTTGTCTTGAAGAGCGAAAGTTTATGTGTTTTCCATCAAGTGCTCCAAGTACAGTGAGGAAATTGCCATAAAATACGAAATTCGGCTTCAATTTCAGCCCACTGCTCTTTACTATTAGAACATTAACAATAAAACAAAATTTTAGATAAAAAGGCCAATAACAATATTAATTAGATATGAGAGGTACTTTTATACACTTATTTTGAAGCTCAAAAACTATTGCTTTTAATGTATTAAAAACAACAACTGAAAGTTTATTAGGAGCTATACGTACTGCATAGGAAAGATCCTATGAGAATTTCCAGATGCTAGAAAGCGCAATGTAGCAGCCAATCTACAATATCAATTTTATATTTAAATTTAACCGATAACGCAATGTGAAGGAACATATTAAAAAAAAATTCGTAAAATTAAAATTAAAATTTACCTTTGACGAGGGTTTATAGTCTGACGCATAACAGTATCCTTTTTTTGTATGTGTGGAGTAATTCGGATCAAAATTTCATCAAAAAGACCTTCATCCATTCGATAATAATTATTATAAGACTCAATGTCTTGTAAACTAGGAAAAAATTAAATTAATTAAAAAAATTATTTTGAAAAACGGCAATAAAATATTTAATTTGATGATTTAATATAGATATAGATTAAATGTACCGAAGCTCCTCTTGCACCATATTTAAAACTCCTCTTCCTTCATTCCTTCTCTGTAGCCAATTTCGAATCCATATTTTTTTACGTCTACGATTTCTTCTATTTATTTCGATGAAGTAATAGCGCGAATGCAGCCAATCTCCGTCGTTGCAAAATTTCATTTACTATATACAGGAGCGGTTGTTCCTCCATATCAATCTCTTTTACAAATATTTTATTTAATTATCAAAACCTATCAACCAGCTACGTTTGACGTTTGACGTTTTCTTTCGTCTGATGTCTTCATACAATATTCCTTCATACAATATTATATGCAAAAAGGTTTATAAATCTTTTCGACTTCTATATTTTTAAAAAAATTCTAACACTTTTGCAAAACATTACATATTTTTGCGGAATATTTATTAACAAAAATGCTAATTTTTAACAATTTTCAATGTTGCGGATCCTGGGATGGTTAGCAAATTTAATAAACAGCAGAAAACCATCAATTAAACATTTCCCCAAGTTTGCTAATTATTTGCAATTTTCTACGTAAGGTGGCAACAAATTTTGCAAATTTGTTTTTTTTTTTAATTTTGCGGACCTCGAGGAAGTTAGCATAATGAGATTATATTATGTTGCTAACAAAACTAAGCAATAAAAAGGTTTAAAGACATTTGAAATTATTATTGTTATTTTTTGAAATTATAATGTCTATTTCTACTCGCTTATCTTGAGTGATCACATCGACTGTGTCTCATAGAACGAATTCCCAGTGTGCTTTTGTTTGCGATTTTCAATATCTTACGATTTTTTATCATTGTTATTGAAATAATTATTGTGAATAGTGTGACGTGTGTGTGTGTGTGTGTGTGTGTGTGTGTG